TCTGCATGGCTCTGTCGACAACAGCACAGCCTTGATCTTTGTCTCGTGGGGGAATCAATCCTTCAACCGTCAGACCCGAAGACTGATGCTCTTCCAAGTGAGCCCCTGTTGGCCCTAATCACAGTTCAATATGAAGATGACAAATATATGACAAACATCTCTTATTGTTGGTCTGTTTCTTGGCTTCAACGTTTCTGGGTCTTTGAAGTAATATATCTTTAGATCAATGTTGTTTCTTCAAAGTTATGATTTAAGGTTGTATTCTGATGCCCTGAATTCCAATGCACTGACTCTGGTTTAATCTCTGTCTTAAAGTTGGGTTTGTATTGAGTTCCTGTTCTGATGAGTGTGTGCATGACTGTGAATGTGGTTATTTTTCTAGAATGTAAAAAGTAGAATTTATTATCAATTGTAATCTTCAAACACGTGTCGTTAATGTTTTACACCAGGCAGCTTTGCACAAATGACAATAAAAGACGTATGCATTATCCTGCTTTATCCTAATAACATGAAATGATCATTATGACGGTGTTAGATGTTCCACAATAGATCCACGCAGGATGGTGCACTCGTGCCAGACCCTGATCCTGACGCCTGGGGCAAGAGGAAGCAGCTGCTGCTGTTTTCTGATGTCATACAATAGTCCAACGTTCAAACCAACGTTCTGGACACTTCTGTCTTGTCTTTTATGTTACAGTTTTTCTCAGTCGCTTTGGTGTAATTCTCACATCAGACTTAAAGTTCTCAAAACTATTAGTTCATCCTCCAGAAGATTGAGACATTTGTGCACATCATCGTAGCAGTTTCTCCTTTGAACAGATTACAAATGCTTTTGTTCATGTATCACTTGCTTTAATACAATTCTCTGCTGTTTAATAACACTATCATTTGCTTCTGTCCTGTCAGTCAAAATGAAACATACCTATGAATTCTGAATAGTCATTCCCTACAAAACTAATAGTCCTAATTTCACATACAAAATTGTTGAACAAAATCAAGATCTGTCAAGCTCATTTCATACATTCCTTTAATTATTTTTTCCTGAAAATCTTTTCTAATTTGAACAATTGTTCTCAGGTGAATTTCAGCTTTCAGTCATGACGAGGTGTGTGTTTTATTGTTTACATTTGTCACAGTTCTACCATAATGATGTTTCTTGTATGTCTGTTCTACGTAAATACTGTAAGTGACTGTATTTTTGATGCACAGTGCTGTAGAATTGCAAAGAGCATATGCAATAAATACAGAGTATGTGAAAGACATACAGTACATACATAAATATATACATACATACATACAGTGCAAACAGTACATACACACACACATACTGTACATACATACAATGCATACATACACACACATACATTACATTCATACTGTATATGTCTTGTACTCAGATACCTCTCTAAATACAGTCATGTGTAACAATACTGTAGTTTTCAGCTGTACAGGTCGTGTTTAGTGCTCACTAAGTGCCACCAAGATGTATGTGTATGTACATGTATGTACTGTATGTACTGTATGTATGTATGTGTACTGTCTTTCACACATTATCTGCATTTGCTCTTTGTAATTCTGCAGCATTGTGCAACAAAAATACAGTCACATACATGTATATTCATAGAACAAACATACAAGAGATATTATTATGGTAGAACTGTGACAAATGTAAACAATAAAACACACACCTCCTCATGAGTGAAGCTGAAATTCACCTGAGAGTCATTGGTCAATTTAGGAAAGATTCACAGGAAAAAAGGTGAAGGAATGTATGAAATTATCTTGACAAATATTGATTTTGAGAACTAGTTCAACAATCTTGTTTGTGATGAAGCGATTGTTTGATCTTCTCAAGATGGGAAGCGGTGCTTCCGAGATATAACCTAAAGAGCTTCGCAACATATTCATAGAACCTTAGTTTTAGGGTAACTGGAGTTTTCCCTGGTTCTTAAGCAAGTCACCAGGTGAAGCGTGGGTTGGGTGTGGCTCTTTGTTCTCAGAGCCAGGCCAATGTCCACGCTGGCTGCTCCGTGTATTTAGGTGATACATATGATTTTCTTACAATTATGCATGTTTTTAGTGGTAGGGGAAACCGGAGTACCCGGAGGAAACCTACGCAGACACGGGGAGAACATGCAAACTCAACACAGAAAGGCCTGGGGGTGGAATCCAACCCAGGACCTTCTTGCTGTGAAGCACAAGCGCTAACCGCTGTGCCACCGTGCCGCCCGTCTGACACTGTGCAGATCCAGAACAGCGTTCTGAGAGATTCCAGAGTCTTTGTGAGCCGCAGAGGTTCACTGCTGATGAGTCCAGCACAGGTACCAGCATCAGGGACTTCAGGGTTTGTTCACTGATGGTTGTAGCTGTCCATGAAGCTCCTCTGGACACTGAGGCCTCTGTGGCTGCAATCCTGTTCAAAAGCACAGACCCTATAATGAGACCTTTGTTTCAGTCAGATGTTGAAAATTACATTTAGTATCTGTGCTAACACAATGACAACATGAGAGTTGAGACTGTTTCTCTCATTCTCAATATTTCCTCATTTTGAACATAATGAATCATGTTTCACCTTTTAAATGTTACAGACATGAAAACATGAAATTAGTACAAATCTATCCATCTATGCTGCATCTCTAGTATACTGTTGTTTCTGAAAGATACTCTGTTTTACATACATAATTTACTATTTCCAGTTAGTAGTAAAAATGTAACTATGCAAAGCTCAATTTCTTTAAACAACTAAACATTTGCTACATTTCATAAAACAAGAGAAACAAACTCAACGGGCATAACTTACCCACAACCTCCAAGAGGTGTTTCTCCAAGAGGTGTTGCCCGATATCGAACTCTTTGTTGATCAATATCGGGCAGTCCAAATTAAGGCCTGCGGGCCGTCTGCAGCCCTCTGTGTCATGTGATGTGGCCCTCTGTCCTGCTAACACAAAGTACGTTAGAGATCATAGACATAAGTTCATAGTGTCATCCAGCCAACTTCAGCTTCACCAATAGAGCTGTACCTGGTTGTAAAGCTCAAACCTCCTGAATCTAGTCGTTTATTTTCATATCCTGACATTTTCTTGGGATTGTATCACAACATTCTAGATATGGCACTGATGCAGCTGGAGAAATGTTAAACATTTCAGTCAACTTCAGCTCCGTGAATCAATAACGACTTGGCCAGAACCGGTGAAAACACTTTTTCGATAAGTGTTGCAGGCCCCTGGACAGTTTTGGCTAAAGTGGCCCTCTTACTATAGAATATAAAAACTCAGATATTAGAAAACAGTGTCAAACTGATCCAAGCAATACACTGACACTAATAATAATACCTGTTTGGACTGAATAGAGGAGGCTTTTCTTCAGGTTCCAGATCGAAGTAGTGACTGAAGTGTCATGTCATTTTCTTCCCCTTCATTAATCCATCTCTGGGTGGGGGGGTGGCACCCAAGTCTAATTGCACCAGTCTTTCAGCAGGGGTTCAGGCAGTGTGGGGTTAACTGTCTTCCCCAGGGACACAACGACAGCACACATCAGTGGGAGCAGGTGACATGGGTCGTGGTGGGCTCGAACCCACGACCATTGGATCCTGAGCTACTGTCACCTCCATACCTCTTCAGTGGTGACTTAAGTCCGTCCAAAAAATTAAACAAAGACAAGTTTGAGAAAAAAAAAGTCTCTGCAAGATCAGGTTTTAAAGTCATACGGCAATATAATAACAAATACGGCAATATTAGAATTCTGTATTACATTGCTCTCCTCTGAATTGAAAACTATTTTACTTTTAACCTGCTAAATATCTTTTATATTGAAGAGAAAAATAACTCACCAAAAAAATCAAAAACGCGTTCCTTTATGGTCACATCCTCTTTCTTCGTCCTCTACTGCTCCTTTAGACACCATGTAGCTGAAGTGTTGTATGTGCTACCCTCTTGTGCAACAACAAAAATGTTGAATTCTGAAATCATAGGATAGGAAGTTCAAGGTTCCGCATTTGTGGGGGTCGATGTTTGGATTACAGTCAGTGACAGCAGGTTACCAGGTGAGTTGTGGTGGACCATGTTTTCAACAGGGGCTGGGGTCTACTTATAAACTGGGGTTGACCATACCTTATATGTTGGCCATACAGTACATTGCGGTCTGCCCATAGACTCGAGGTTGACCATAGATAAGAGGTGGGACATAGATGGAGCATCCCACGATTTTAATCATTCCAGTTAATAATGAAAATGTACCGATGCATATATTAAGGTCGTTACTGTATATAACTAAATACTTGCTGCATTTGATAAAACAAGTGAAACAAACTCAAAGGGCGTGACTCACCCACTGCCCCCAAGAAGCGTTTCTCGAAGCTGGCTCATGTACACCCTCCATGTTGTAAGCCCCTGGAAAGTTTTGGCAAAAGTGGCCCTCTTACTATAGAAAAAAAACATACAAATCCGTGTCAATATTATCCTTGAAATAGTAATGACAATAACTGTTTTGAACTGAATGAAGGAGACTTTTCTTCAGGTCAATAACTTGATAAATACGTCAATGGTACAAGTGTGTGTAGCACTGCTGTGCTCTGAATACAAAACTATTGTACAGGTAATGTGCTATCTATTATATAGAAGAGAAAAGAACTCACCAAAATACAAATACGTGTTTCCCTGTCAGTAGCTCTGAGCACAGAAATCCCACAAAAATTATCTTAAAAAAAATCACTAAAAATGTCTATTACTGAAATTATAAAGTTTTGTAAAGATGGATTTTTGACCCTATTTTCTTTCAATGAGTTTTTGTTTTTTGTATTATTTGGGGATTGGGATTATTTACTTCCCGGGGTTGTTTTTGAGTTGTTAATAGTTAACAAAACATTGCCCTTCTTATCTACAACCTGACAGGAGGTGTAGAAGGCTCAGCATTTGTGGAGGTCGATGGTTGGGCTACAGTTGGTGTCACAGGGATACCAGGTGGGTTGTGGTGGACCATGTTTTCCACACGGGCCGGGGTGTTCACATTAAGAGGGGGTGAACCATACACTGGAGGTTGACCATAGAATGGAGGATGACCATAGAATGGAGGATGACCATAGAATGGAGGTTGACCGTAGCACTGAGGTTGACAATGGACTGGAGGATGACCGTAGCACTGAGGTTGACCATAGCACTGAGGATGACCATAGACCGGAGGTTGACCATAGGTTGGAAATTGCCCATGGATCGGGGGTTGGCCATACATAGGAGGTGGGACATAGCCGTTATAAATGGGGCCTGTAGCATGAAAGTGTTTTTTTCTGCTAATGTTGTCTTTAGGGGACCAATCCGGGTATTTGGCCTGGTGCTCTCTCTTGAGCACTCGGGCTTTCTCAAAGTACGGAGCTTGTTCTGCCTCAGATAGCTCGCCCCATCTCTCGCCGAGGATGGTGTTGACTTCTGCTGAGTTGGTAATGCCAAGCTCCTGCATGATGGCTCCTCTCTGCTCTGCTCTGTAAATCATGAAGGCGTTCAGAGGTTTCTTGATATACGGCCTCCCAGCGTCATCTGCATCCCGCTTCCTCTTCCTATTGTAAAAAATGTATGTGAAAGGAAAGTAACTTGATAATGTTGATTTGGAAACAAACTGACTCAAGATCAGAACTATTAAATTGCTACTTACCTTGAAGGGACATTTCCAGCCGTTGCTTGGGATGTATAGAAAACCGGTTGCTTTGCCTGGAACATTGCTGGTCCATGGATCATCGCTGGACAATGACGTGTTGGTCCAGTGGAGGGGACAGGCACGAGTTTTGGTCCAGGGATCATCATGTATAAAGGGAGAGACGGTTGAGAGGAAGTTGCCCTGTCCTGTGGAGAGGCATAGGCCATTCGGGAGTAAGGGGGCCTTTGAGCAGGGTAGAAGGTCTTTCGTGGGGCAGGTCCAAGTGGACGGTGTGAGACCTCTCTTGTCGTGGCTGGAGAACGTTCCAGTGTCGACTGCTCCGAGTTGTCAGTTTGAGACTCGGGGGTTGAGGCAGGTGCAGGTGACCCATGCAGCTCACTGAGCAGGTCTGGTGAGGCAGGACCATCGCTGTGCAACAACTGGGCCTCAACAAGGGCTACCATAGCATCCAGAGCCTCTTCTGAGGGATTCATGTTGGATGTCTATAAAACAAACACATTTTACTACAAGTACTTGCGACCAGTTAGCATTTGGTAGCCTTTCAACAAACTGCATTTGCTAGATTTAAAGTTATATTTATCAGTTTTAGCACTTAACAGACCTTATACAATACATACTTTTAATACATCTGTCAAAATATTAAAATTTTTGGGGCAATTTTTCAGATTTCTATTGGTTTGAATGAGAGTAGTCAAAGTGACGGCTCTGGGAGTTCCAGTAAATTCATAATTGTGGGAGTTTTATTCAACTAAACATATGCTGCATTTGATAAACAAACTCACATGGAATAACTGGGCCTCAACAAGGGCTGCCATAGCATCCAGATCCAGATCCTTTTCTGATGGATTCATGCCTGATGCCTGTAAAACAAACAACACATTTTAATACAAATGACATTCCAAACCTTTCTGCAGTTGCCAAATGAGGTCTACAATATTTTTTAATAGGAATGGTATTTTAAAGTTATATTACAGTGTTTTCTGTTGGCTTGGCTCCAAATAACATCTGCAAAATCCAAATTTGCCTTACGATGATTCAAAGCTCTATTTGTTTATATTTGTCAATGTCAACGTCAACTTTATTTGTAGAGCACATTTACAAAAACACCAGCTGCCTAAAGTTTTTCACAGGCACGAAACATGAAAAATACAAGATAATACATAAATATGTAAGAAAATACATGGCCGACAGTAGCTCAGTTGGTGGAGCATTCCCCTTTGAGCCTGAAAGTCGTGGATTCAAGCCCACCCCAAGACCTTCTCCACTGACTCCCACTGAGGCCTGTTGTTGTGTCCTTGGGCAAGACACTTAACCCCACTTTGGATAAAGCCCCCGCTGAAAGGTCAAGACTTTGCTCTCACAGACAGAGCAGCCATCCTTCTGTGGACCACCTGCAGGAGGATCAGTGGGGGGCTGGTGCTCTGTGAATTGGGTGCAGCTCTGACTGGTCCAGGCCACAGTGAGTTACAATAATCTAACCTAGATGAAACAAAAAGGTGGCTAACTCGCTCAAAGTCAGCGGGTGGGATGTAGGCCCTCATTTTGCTCAAGACCCGGAGGTCCTGCTCCACCTCCAGTGGCAGCACCACCTCTGCTGCAGTGACCTGAAGTGCTGTTTCTTATTATTACTATTACTATTGTTAGCTTTTTAGAAAGATCAATTTATTTGTTTTGTTTAGTGTGGATGGATGTGTTTTTTCTGCTACTAGACACCTGATTTTTTTCCTATGGGGATCAATAAAGTATCTATCTATCTGCTAGAAACTGGTGTGAGATTTCATAACACTTTGAAGCAACTTTTGTTAAAGTTAAACTCATCATTCTATCAATGTGCAGAAGCCAGTACTTTTCCCTTGTTGTGTCTATCTGAAGGCCAAGCTACAAGCACACCGTGGAAGCTGCTGATTGGAGGTCTCCATGCCTCCGCTCTGTATAATACACTTGCATTCTCTTGTATCTGTGATCGTCTGTTTGTGCTCGTGCTGTCTCTACCATCGACAATAAAACATGTCTTCTGTCTGAATTAAAGACGCGATCCCAGACATGTCATCTTCTTCAGGTGGTGGAGGATGCGGGCATTGTCTGTAACATCTAGAGAACAGAAGACTTTTTTTTTTACACAAAAAGTTTTTTTTTTTAAGCCAAAACTGAAAAACCTCAAGAGAATGCGTCTGGATCAGCACTTGGGCAATCTGCACAGCCCCTGATTCCAGTCAGGCTGTGAGCTGCTGAGACATGGACAAGACCATCGTCCTCTTTTGCATGGACATAATTTGGAACAATTGGATTACACAATTTGGACATAATTTGGACTGAATTGGATTGCTGAATCTGGACACTAAAGCTGAAACGTGTGATTGAAAGACACGTCACAGAAGAATTCATGGCTTGACACGACAAATGCAGCCTGAAGAAATCAACGGAGAAGTGGGAGAGACTGTTTTCAAAGCAATATCTGGAACCATCGACTGATGAAGTTTGGTATTTTACTGAAGATTGTTGACAAGTTTTATGAAAGATCTGAACATGTTTTATGAGTTTGAGTTTTTTGAAGTATTCCGAGTACCGAGTGAAGTACCGAGTTTATGAGTTTTTGAAGTATTGAGTTATGATGTTATGTTGCTGTTTATCGATCCTGATGGTCACACGTGAATGTATGACCAGAGGGGGGAATGTGAGATTTCATAACACTTTGAAGCAACTTTTGTTAAAGTTAAACTCATCATTCTATCAATGTGCAGAAGCCAGTACTTTTCCCTTGTTGTGTCTATCTGAAGGCCAAGCTACAAGCACACCGTGGAAGCTGCTGATTGGAGGTCTCCATGCCTCCGCTCTGTATAATACACTTGCATTCTCTTGTATCTGTGATCGTCTGTTTGTGCTCGTGCTGTCTCTACCATCGACAATAAAACATGTCTTCTGTCTGAATTAAAGACGCGATCCCAGACTTTGTCATCTTCTTCACTGGCTTTGATTACTGAATTTATTTGCCTGTCCATCCTGAAGGTGCTATCAAAAATAACACTTAAGTTTCTAGCAGAGGACTCAAAATCATTTTTATTGCCATGTACAGTAAGTAACAGGAAGTCACAAACCAGGATGTTCCTTTTGCTCTCAGTATAACAATCAAGGAAGAGAAGTAGAGAATAGAGTAGTAAGGCATAGTAAAAAATCAGCAATCTAAGGCATAAAAATTGAAATTGTTACAATTGACTATTTACAATATAAGCTGTGTGCACACAATATGCATTAAGCAGTGCAGGGCTTTATAAAGGGCATCAAAGTAGCTTTATAAAGGGCACTAAAGTGGCTTATAAAGAACGGCACAAAATTAAAACATTTTGGGCAAGCCATATTATTACTTCCCGGAGACAATCTAGCAGTGTTGTCATTGACACTGAGGTGCGTTTTGAAGGCAGGTAGATCTGCAGGTCATCAGCATAAGCATGAAAGGAGAGATTGTGAATATTGTCAAGTAGCAGCATAAACAAAGAAATAAGCCAAAGAAACAACATCCAAAATTAATATTACTGATGCTAATTATATTAATGGTATATATCATTGGTAAATGTGAGATTAAAGTTGAAGTAAGACACAGCTATCTACAATCAGACCTAATCCGGCGCATGTAGAAAGCAATTTAGTCTGCGATTCCTACAGATTTTTTGTAAATCAATGATGAAAATTGCTACTCACCAGTCGTTCTCAGAGAGAAATGTTCAAACAAAGTATTTGGAAACTTCAAAATAACTTTTGAACCAAAAGTTGTGGAGTGATCAAAATTTGTGCTAAATCCGTCGCTGTCCAGAGACTAAATGAACATTTAGTTTGAAAAGGGGCATATGTAGCTATGTTCAATGTTCCGGAAGGTGACATCAGAATCGGCGTCACTATAACCGTGGTGACTGTCCTCACCATGACGACGGCCATCTTCTGAAGTGGCCAATAACATTAAATACAATGAATATACCTGAATAACCTAAATGATTGTGTTTAATGAATGAAATGATCAAAGAAAGAGGTGACTGACAGGAGCACGCTGTGATACAGGTACAGTCTGTACCTGTGGGTATTACTCAAGCCCTCGCGATCCAAGATGGCGTCCTATTCAAATCGTTGGATTGTACACAATGGCGCATGTGTGTGCCACCATGGGGGCCCAAAGATTAGCGGAACTCGCCCATGCCGTTTGGGCATCGTCTGGTCCTCTTGGTTCTGTGCAGTGTACGTGCTCCCATGATGTGTTGCGCCAAATACGCGTTTATGGCTCTCATGTTTCGGAAGACAATCGAGCAGAGTTTGTAACACTAAAGTGTGGATTTAGAGAAAAGGATTTAGGAGAAAAAAAGGACAAGGGACACTAAAATCCCCACAAAACCGACCTTTATGAAAGCTGTATCTTCTCTGTATGCTGAGTCATATACTGGGCTGACGAGCGCCTGGCCAGGCAGCGCTGAGGGGAGAGATGCACACAAGTCTCTGACCCGCAAGTCAAGTCTCAACGCCCTGGATTCCAAGTCAAGTCCAAGTCCCTGGACCCGCGAGTCCAAGTCAAGTCTAAGTTTCATTTCCCACGCATTAAAATTATCGCCAATTAAAACGACTAAAATATGTGAAGTCTTTGTATTGTTTTTAGAGTGCATTTAGCCTTAAACATTTTAGCCTGCAGGCCATAACAGGGCTGGACTGGGACCGAAAAACGGCCCCAGGACTTGCCTCCTCAACGGCCCGCCCTGGTTTGTTGTCACTACAGTACCAAAATTATCTTTTGATACAGGACTGAGTATGGGACATTTCAAAAAAGGCTGAAATGCATAATGTCAGCCAATGTTTGTCATTAAATCTGTTTGATTTGTTCACAACATTTTACTATTGGGACAAACAATATGAGCTGTTAATGCGAGGGAAAATGTACGTACCCCAGCTTTAATTTAGCAAGTTTAGGAGGAGACACGTGGGAGCTCTGTTTATTGCAGAGGTGTATTTATTGCGTGCACAGGTTCAGCAAAGACACGCACACAACAAGCAGAGAATGGTCCTGTGCGCGTGTATGTCCTGGGGACACACGTTGACAGAGCGGCTCACAGCTCAGACACAACTGATGCACAAAGTGATGAGCCAACGTGTGCATTCCCGCACAGTTAAGACCCGCGATCACCGCCAAAGAGCGTGCACAGCCAAAGAGAGCACACCGCCATAGAGCGCACACCCTTACCAGCCTGTGAAATGGATGGATCTGGAGCATCAGGACTCGCATTGTTCACAAGTCATAGTCAAGTCCGAGTCTTTAGGGGACGAGTCCTAGTCAAGCGACTTAAGTCCCCATCTCTGGCTGTGGGCATGGTGCATCAGCGTGTGTCCATGCTTCTACCACGGGCACGCCTCTGACATCAGCCTCACTGTCTCTTACATGCGGCACCGCCTGAACCTCTCCACTCCAACAGACGCATGACGGGGACAAAAGGTACAGCAG